GAAGGAAGATGGGGCAATTTACTTCCGTAAAGATTTACAGCCTTGGAAACCCAGTGGGGGTCACTATGACTCAGAATCGACTGAATGGCAGTGAGTTTGGTTTTTGATTCTTACCCTATGCAAATGCTCTCTGCTGTCGAAGACAGGGTTACACATATTAGAAGAATAAACTGTATAAATATTCTGCTAAATTGAAGGTGGCACATCTTCCTAGTGATAGGCTGTGCTGGACTGATGAGGCTGGCAACTTGAGGTGGTTTTCTCTCTGGGGATATGATATGAAATGATTTACAGTTTTCTGTTGATGAAGCTTGATGACGTGCTTAGTATCAAGTTAACAAAATCTGCTACTGCTTACATTTGGGGTCTGGCAACTCTTTTTTTAAAAAAACAGTTTCGACATGTACCATTTAGTGATACTGATTTATTGTTTATACCCTTCGAGTTTTGCAACCATTTTCACCATCCTTTTATCTGTCCTTCTTCCTAAGGGTCCTATCTAATCTTTCAGGTTGCTTTTGTCAGTTTGATCCTATATGGATAGTTCTTAAAGAAGCATAATGCTCAAGGCAGATATTTTTAACTAGTTAAGCCAAACTATTTAATTTTAAGACTTCAGGGGATATTTTTTGTTTAAGGTGGAAAGATTATCTCAGGGCAATAGTTTCAGAAGTTCATCCAGACTTTATGGTTCCAGGAAGTCTGGAATCCATGAGTGTTTTAAATTCTGGTCTGCATTTTTTCCCCTTTGGATTAGGGTTCCTCTATAGAATCATAGATCAAAATGTTCCATAATGGTAACCAAGCACCATCCAGTTCTTCTGGTCTGGCAGAGATCACAATTGTTCACAGGCAATTAGCCGCACATTCGGTATCCTCCTCCTATTACTGATTCTCCTTCTTCTGTTGCTCCAGGTGAATAGAGACCATTTGTGCCTTGGATGGCTGCTTGCTACCTTTTAAGACCCCAGGCACTGCAGCAAACTAGGAGGTAGAACAAAGGCACTAAATATGTTATTAAGCCAATTATATGGGATGTGCCATGAAACCACACCCTCTATCTCCAAATCAGGAAACTAGATCTCAGGAGGTATTTGGCTGCAGTTAAGCAGCTGTTCCCACCCCCCACCCCCATTATGTGTATACATATATGGGAGCTCTGGTAGCATAGTGCCAAAAGCATTTGAGTGCTAACCAGAGGGCTGGCGGTACAATCCCACCAGCCACTCCTAAGAAAGAAGATTGGGCAATCTACTTCCATAGAGATACTGCCTCAGATACCCACTAGGACTCGAATCAACTCCACGGCAGTGAGTTTTTTTTTTTTTTTTTTTTATTGTATATATGGAGCTCTGGTAGCATAGTGCCTAAGGCACTTGACTGCTAACCAGAAGGCTGGAGGTTCAAACCCACCAGCCACTCCTCGGAAGGAAGGTTGGGCAATCCTACTTCCGTAGTGATACTGCCTCGGAAACCCAAGGAGGGGTCGGGCCGACTCAACGGCAAATAACAACAACAACAACAATATGTTTGTCATACAACTTTCGACAATTCAACTGTTCAACTTTTTTACAAGTCTACAAATTATTGACAGCAATTACAGTAGTTGGTTATGCAAACCTACCCTTAATCAATGCATATTTCTATCACTGTTAACCCCTCTCTTCCCTCCCTTCTGCCCTTAGTAACCACTAAGAAACTTTGTCTCTATATATTTGCTTTGTCTTGTCTTTTTATATAAGTAAGGTCATACAATATTTGTCATTTTGTGATTAGCTTATTTTACTCAGCACAATGTCTTCCAGCTCCATCCATATTGTAGTGTGTATCAAGACTTCATTTCTCGTACTGGCTGAGTAGTATTCCATTGCATGTACCACATTTTGTTTATCCATTGATCTATTGATGAGCAGTTAAGTTGTTTCTTCCTTCTGGCTATTATGAATAGTGCTTCAATGAACATTGGTATTTAAGACTCTGGCTCTCTGCTTTCAAGTCTTTTGGGTATATGCTAGGACTAGAATTGCTGACTCATACATGGTTGTTCTGTTTTTAGTTTTTTGAGGTACCACCACACTGCTTTCAGCTGTACCATTTTGCATTCCTATCAGCAATGTGTAAAGGTTCCAGTTTTCCCACATCCTTACTAACACTTCTTATTTTTATTTATTTAACATCTTCGTCATCCTATTGGGTATGAAATGATATCTCATTGTGGTTTTGAGTTATATCTTTCTGATGGCTAATGACAATGAGCATCTTTTCTTGTGTTTGGTGGCCATTTGAATGTTCTCTTTGATGAAATGTCTATTCAAGTCCTTTGCCCATTTTATAATTGGGTTATTTGTCTTTTAATAAAAAGTTGTCAAAGTTGTACATATATTTGTTATTAGGTTCTTGTTGGATGTATGGTTTCTGAAGATATTTTCCCAGTCAGTAGCTTGTCATTTCACTTTTTCTGAAAAGTATGTTGATCAACGAGTATTTTTAATGTTTATTAAAAATGTGTATAAGGTCCCATTTATTTATTTTGTGTTTTGCTGTTTGTGCTTTTGTTATATTAGATAATCCTTCATAGGTCTGACAGTGTTGCCTCTGCTCGTACTTCTAAGGATTTTATGGTTTTAGATTGTGCGTTTAGATCTTTAACCCATTTTGAATTTGTTCTTACATATATGATGTGAGGCATGAATCCTACGATCCAGCTTTCCCAGAACCATTTATTGAAGAGACTCTTTTTCCCTATTGAATAGACTTAGCACTCTTGTCAAAAATCAGTTAACCATAGATGTGTGTGTTTATTTCTGGACTCGCAGTTCTCTTCCATTGATCTGTTTGTCTTTCACTATACCAGTACCTGGCTGTTTTGATTATTGTAGCTTTAGAGTTTGCTTAAAACCAGGAAGTGTGAGTCTTCCTACTTTATTCTTTTCTTTGAACATTGCTATAGCTATTCACGGCCTCTTGTTATTCCATCTAAGTTGAGGATGAGCTTTTCTATTTCTATAAAGAAGGCTTTTGGAATTTTGATTAAGATTGTGTTCACTCTTTTGATCACTTTGCATAGTAGTAAGTCTTCCAATCCATGATTGTGGAACATCTTTCCATTTATTTAAGTCTTCTTTAATCTCTTTCAGGAGTGTTTTATAGTTTTCATTGTATAAGCCCTTCACATCCCTGGTTAGTTGTATTTCTAGGTATTTTATTCTCTTAAATGTTACTGTAAATGGAAAGTTTGTCTGATTTCCCTTTCAAATTTCTTACTGCTGCTGTTGAGAAAC